ATTAGAATTGCATTTTTTAAAATTTAATTTCTTGATTGTATAGTTACGTTTGAACTTTATTTTTATGTATTCAAGTAGTTTTATTGGTACTTACGTATTATCCCGCCGACCGGCCAAGTTACGCGATTCAGAGCAAAACATGGATACCTGTGTCTTTAAGAGTTCCGTAACAACGCTTGGCGTTCGGCGACTGTTGCCGAAGTTTCCGCCAACGGTCGAACGGGAATACTATTTTATCCTTCACATGCTTCGTGACTTCTGCTTTTGCTTTGTACAATATATCTGTAAGCAGAGCCGGGGCTAAGCATTTTGCCGCCAGGTGCAATCTCTGCGAATCCTAAATTTTTCTGCCTGGTGCCTTCCTAAATTCTGAAAATTTTGCCGCTCCTTAATTCTGCAGTCCAGGGCGTTCCTTGAATTCTAAAGACTTTGTCATTCCTAAACTTTGTTGCTCAGTAATCAGCAAAGCTTCAGTTCAGTTGCTCAGTAATCAACAAAGCTTCATTAAGCTCTAAATTCTAAAAACTCTCTTGCCTAATGCAGTAGCACTGGTTGCATCAGCTTTGGCATCAGCCTTGTCTGTAAGTTTATCTACTTAGAATATTAATCAAAGTTGCCGCTAGGCCTTTTTGTGCAATATCTGAGGTTCCTAAATTCTACAACCCAGTCCTTCTTATATTTAAAAAAAAATTCCGCCCCCCAGATGCTGCTGCATTGTTTGCATCGGCCCTGATCTTAGATGTTTATCGATGAAATTTGCAAAAAAATTCTTTGACTCGAATTTTCGAGTACTCGATTTTTTTATTTATTTTTTTTTCCCCGGAGGGGGGGGGATACCTTTATTTTCGATTTAATGAATTCTATGGCACAGACAATTAATGAAATAACAGACAAAAACCCTTAACATATCACTTGCCTCAGGAATCATTACCTTCTGCATACGACTTCCCTCTGCCCTCTCCATTCTTTTATCTGTTTTTCTTGCGTCCTTGACAGATAGCACAAAACATGGAGAAAAAAAGCTCTAAAAAAATTAATGAAATCTTTCAGCTAGTGAGATATTTCATACAAAGTTATCTAAAAAAAGATTATCGTAATTTGATTTGCTTTTTTTTTTTTTTTTTTTTTTTTCCTTCGGCTATAATCAAAATTCTCATAATTGCCCATAATTTCTTTGAAATTAATTTTTTACGCAACCATCAAGTTGACTTAACAAATTAATATTTGGTGGCGCCATCTGTTATCATAAATGCAAACCATTACATGTGAGTATCGCTGCGTAATTCGTTCTTTAAAGGGAAATAAGATAGCAAACTTAAAACAGCGTGGGGGGGGGCGAACACACAATTTGAAAATAGTTAATGGAGCAAATTTCTTTCTTTCTTTCTTTTTTTTTTTAGAAAATTAAAAATTTTATTAACAAAGTAAAATATATTTTAAATTACGCTTATTGTATATTTACCAAAACATACATGAACAATTACTATAATAATATTTAAAAAATCAAATTTATATTTATTTTCAATTTTAAATGGCTTGTAACACAGTTTTGCTGATTACACTTTGCAGTTCAAATATCCTAACAAAACATTAAATTCTTATACTGACATTTCTTTCAAATGATTCTAACATGTTTAATTAATCATTAAATAACTTACTTTAATTTAAATTAAAAATAAACAAATTATGTGAAGATTTATGAGTTTTCAGAGAAAATTTTACAGATTGGTGCCAAATCTGAGAAAAAATAAGAACCTAATGCGTTACTCGTGTTCGTTTTTATAGGTAATGAAGTAATCTAACTCGGAATTCAAATCACTAAAAGGATTGTAAACATCATTGTAAACAGTGATTCTGAAAAACTGAAACTAAAATTTTAAAATAATAATGGAAAGCAAACAAAAAATAGGCATATCAGTATCAAAAGAACCATGAGAATCTACCAGTAAAAGGGCAATAACAAATATCGCGTATTGTTCCAACTTCTGTATACCATATTTTATGCTTCACAAAAACTCTTGAAGTAGTGATTTTCATGTGCCGCAAATACAAGTTCTGAAAAATCTTAATTTCACTCTCAACTTCAGGCTATCAAAGACAATAAAAAATATACCCACAAACAAAGAAATCAGATAATTGAATTTTCAGTTATCTATATTAAATGATCCACTTTCGAGTATCGATAATTTCAATTGTCAATGCTCATATCAACAGGATAAGCAGAAAACACAGACAATGCAAAAGTATCTCTGTGAAACTGTAATCTATACTACGGCTGTTATAAAGAAAAAGAATTTTTCGGAGGTTTTTTAAATAAATGACACACAACATATTTTTAAAATAAGCTTTAATTCAAATAATAATTAAATTTGCATAGAATTTTCTCTGCTTATTCTAAAAATATCTTTTATATCCCTTTTCTTTATAGCCGTGTCGTCATTCTTTAAGATGATACGGCAAATATTATGCAGCTATGGTGTTAATAAATTCGAAGTAATTTTTTCTTCACCTCAATAGTCTGGATAGCTTATCTTTTACAATCCAGAGCTCTACCGTGACTACCTTTGTTATTTTATCATTTTCACTACCCTCATTGCACTCTTTCCTATGGACTGCTTTTCAGCAGCTTCATTAAAAATGGGATCTTGATTTATTTAAGCTGAATAGTCATCATCTCTTATCTTTCTTCGTCGACTGCTGTCATTTATATTTTCAAAGCCTTGAACAATGAGACCCGACATCTTCATTAGCAGAACCTTCCTAATTTACCCTAACAGAAAGCAGTTTCTTCCAGTTATAAATTACATTAAATTTTAATTTCGTTTTAAGACTTGACAGTGAGATTTCACTGCGTCGAAATGGGAAGTTTATTTCAAAACTCCGCCAGTTGTTCCTCAAAATTTAGTCTGAAAACACTTTTAGAGAACAATGCCCAGATAACTTGCAATACCCACTGTCCGGAGATCAGTGTATAAGTGAAAAAGCTAAGTAAGGCTTATTACATAAAATGAAAAAATTTTTACATGTACCCTTTCTTTGTACATACAAAGCATGTATATAAAAATACCACAAGGGGCCCACGAGTGGTCGCGTTGTTGAGACCCCTGAATACTAGAAGTTTGACACGGGTTTCCAGGCGAATGAGCATGGCGGTTTTCGTGGTTTTGCCCATGGTAGCATGAATACAAGCTGGTTTTCCTTAGAAAGTCCTCCCCGATGGCATCTCTTCCCTTAGGCGATAACCCTCCCGTGCCTTTTCCTATTCAAAAAGACTAACATCGCATATATTTAATTGAAAAACGTCACATGCAAAAGTGTCCTGAAAGGTCTACCGCATTTGATTCATTTCTTAAACTACAGCCAGTGGATCATTTCTTAATGGTCAAGAGATATTTTCCATGTATAATCCAGTTGCAGACAAGATTTTTCACTTGAGTAGTCCATTTCTGTAAGCCTTTGCATTAACCAAATATTCTGTGTAATATAGTTGCTTTCGTTCAGATTTGTACATTCGGATCGTAAGTCAGTAGCCGAGCCACCCAGCTGGTATAGTGGTTAGTGACCATAACTGCCGTAGCGATGGGCCCGGTTTCAAATTCCGGAGAAGGACTGTCCGTCCCTTCATAGATCTTCTAACTGTCCGTCCCTTTATAGAAGGCAACGGTAGCCACATATTACGTGCTTCCATATTGAAATGGCCACTACTTCCTGCCCTTGTAGGGATAGGGAAGCCGGGTTCGAATCCTGGAGAAGACATGGCTGTAATTGTCCGTCCCATCATAGGAGGTAACTTTAACCTAGCTATTACGTGCTTCCGCAATAATTTATTAAACTGTTTTAATTTAGGTTGAAAGAGTATTTATAAACACACAAAAAGTACTTTATTCAGTTTATTTTGAGGCACACAGTTGTTTTTTAAATCAAGCTCAACTAATGTAGCCTATAGTCTTGGAAACTGAAATCTGAAACTTTATTCAGCATTTACTGTGATATTTTACATTCTATAATAAATATCTAAGAACAGAGAGCCTTACCCACTAGCACTGTATCTGTAAATAACCGCAGAAATTTAAGCAGCTTTTAAAAAACTGGTCATAATTCTTCGCTGACTATCTAAAAATTTATGAAAGATTATTCTTTGAGTTTTTTTTTTCTAAGAATCGTTTTAAAGTTCAATCATATCTTCATTAAAAGTTTTAGCTTGTATGTTATTTTACATCGATGATTCATGTGCCTTTTTTTCACCAATGTTAGCTTTCTTTGAATGTGTCTAAATGTTCTGAGTTCGTAGTTAGTAGTCGAATGAATGAGATTACTGAACATTGGTTGTTTAACCTGGCTTTGAATTCCACTAAACTGGCTGGCTGCATGGACATTATCGTGGTTTTCATCAAATATAATGTAAATGCAAACTACTTTTCCTTAGGAAGCTTTTTCAAAGGTTTCTCTACCTCGGACAAAAAGCTGTAATTCGCTTTGCCATAACCATTTAAATAAACGTACTTCCCTGGCCAGGGCTGGATTAACCATTAAGCAAAATAAGTATGTGCTTATCACGCATTAAGGAAAGAAAGAATTAGAAAACGTACTTAGGGAGCACCAGCAAAGAGGTGCTTAGGAACTCAAGGAAAGGGACTACCACAAATGTTTCTCATTGTTGATTTTATAACGGAATGTGTGAGGCAGCTAAACCAAAATCATGAGAGAAAAATAGGTGTTAATATTTACTGTAAGTGAATGTGGCATCACCAAAATTTTTTAAGTGTTTAAGACCTCTAAAAGTTTTAATCTGTCCGGACTTATCTAAGGCTGGGATTCAGTAATGTAATCTATTATTTTGGTGCGATATTTCAATAGGACCAGACCATCAAGACTTCATACCGAGATTCTAAACCAAAGTAAATTTAAGTAAATGTTTTAGCTTTATTTATAGGATCTGACAAAAAATTAAACTTGAAATAATTTCTTTTTTAAATTCAAGATAGCAAATTCTTTTTCAGATGGCGGAAAAGAAAACTAAATCTTTTCTCAGAACTTGGAATTCCCGGCCCACCTCCCCATTTTCTGTTTGGGAATATATTAGAGTTAAATCAGAAGGTAAAAGTACTGTTAATATGTTTTTAAATTCACATAATTTCATACTATTTGTTTAATAAACATTTAACAAATATTTTCCATCGACATCCTGGAATCTGTTTTCGGAATTATATAACTATTTGAATTATTGCACTTAATTCTAGCTTGATGTCTTAACTTTTTAATCAAACTTCTCTGCTAATAGTCATTTGCTTTTGTTATAAACTAGACATTCATTTACATACACAATTTCACTTATGCTCTTTATTTTATAAAAAAGACTCACATTATCAAGTGATGCGTCAGTGGAAATCTTTGATATTTTCAGCACTTATCTGTAAATAGCTCCCAGAGCGGGGCATAACATCTATAAAAAGAATTAAGGACTGGGTTATTCAATTATTTTGCTTAAAGCATAACTCCCTTAGGCAAAGTAGGCCTTTCTTGCACAGCACAATTAAAAAATTAATTTCGAAAATGAAAAGATAAATGTCGTTACGATTTCTTGTAGTCCTTTAAGTCGTAATAAAAGCTCTCATAGTGAAAACTTCATAAATAAATAAATAAATTTTATCCATCTATGTCCTTAAAATGCAATAAAAAACATGTATACAAAATACTTTACTACAGTACATTTTAAATTTCAAAATCATGTCTAAAGTTTACGCAACGAGATAAAGCGAGCATTTTGTGCTTTCTTAATAAATTAAGCAAAGCTTCCAATATTGTCTTACATTTTGCTTGTATTTGCAGTATATCTCGTATTTCTTCAAGTAAAGTATTGCAGAAATAAATAACATTTAAATTAGTCACAATAATGGTGAGGAAAATGTTATAGCTACGTATTGTTTACCCAGACTTTCACAGAAATTTTCAAGCTACACAAATGCATCATTGATATATATGCTAATTGCAAATCTTATCATTAATGAAACAGACTAAGCTTTTGCTAAAAACAAATAGTCGGTATGAAATTTCTTTTATTGTATCGAAAATTTAACTGATGAAAAATTTTGCAAAATATTTAATAGGGTCCTTTCCAGTGCCAATCTGAATGGATACAAAAATATGGAAAAGTTGTCGGGTAAGTACAATTTCATATTTTTAGTTTTGCAGCTGTGATTGTTAGTCTGATACACTGCAATCATCTACGGAAATTATTAGTCTTTGTAACAGATAAAACTGCCAGTTTAAAAAAGCAGTACATTATATCTCTGCTAGAATGTTAACTTAAGACTATAACTATTACTGTCTTAACTATATTACTAACAGCTCATTACGAATATTCTATATATTTCAGCTTCTATCATGGTCTTAAGCCGATTCTGTGGGTTGCCGATATTGAATTGCTGAGAAAAATTTTCATCAAAGATTTTAGTTTCTTCTCAGATCGGCCAGTGAGTATTAATTAATATTTTATTCCAGCTTTATTAATTAGTCTTCTCTTTTTGTTACTATATTTTCACTCAGAATGAAATGAAAAGCGTATAAAATTTAAGAATACTTTCGAAAACTCCATTCGACGTTACAGTTGGCGAAAATCCACTAAACTTAACGCCCGCCAGACTCGTTCATTTTTTTGCAAATACCTCCAAACAACCATTGCTCGGGGGTTATTCTTACGTTTTGAGAACAAGCTCTCATCAATTCCGACAATGAGATTTAGCCCTTCCGATTTTTTTGTTTGTTTGGCCTTGTTAAAAGACTGTCTATATAAACTTTTGTCCTAGTCGATGCAGTCTTATCACTCAACTCTAATACTCATTTTCCCCATTGAATACTAGTTAATTCTTCACGCCAGCAGTAAATGAATCATAGTGCAGTCACAAACGAAATAGTTGAAATCTCGTACCCCGTTTCTTTAAGAACGTATATTCGGTTCTGACATGTCTTGAACATAACAACGCCGCTGAATCTGCGTTTTTAAATAAAGCACCATTCGTAGCCATCAATGCTATTTTTTTTTTTTTTTTTTTTTTTTTTTTTTTTTTTTTTTTTTTTGATGGCGGTAAGATTCTATACTTTTGAAAGAATTCTACTGCTTCTTGTTCTGTAGTTGGTACATCCCAAATTTTAAGCATTTTTTACAGCATAAAGCTATAACGAGATTTAAAACAGCGACAGCTTTACAGCGAGAGCTAGGAAGAAAGTATTAAGATTACATTCAATTGACGTATCGGGCAGGTTTTAGCCTTTTTGACTAAAAACGCCTTTTGGTGCCATTGCCTTCATTTGGCGAAAATAATACACTGAATTTTCCGCAAATACCAATTTAAGAATCTGCTGTGGATAAATTATTGCATAAATAAACAATCAGAGGAAGAGAAGTAGTCTCTTATTTAAGTAATAATTTGTGTTTATCTATTATCCTTTTCGGAGCTCAGCGTATCATATTCCATGAATGACATTAGGTATTAAAAGCTCATCATTCAAATTTAATCTAAAAGAAATATATATGTAAAATTCTTATAAGAAACAAGAGTTTTAATAGTTTTCCTAAAATATTCGCATGGTTGAAAGAATGTGTTCTAAAGTTCATGTGACTAAGTCACGTATATTCTATGTGCAGCTTATTTGCCACACGATAAATTTCAATGCAATGGTCGAGTTCTTATTCCTAAGCACATCTCACCGTGTACATGTTAACCAAGCAGCTATTGTGAAGCGTTGTTTAAACCATCCTAACGTATAGGAAGGAGAGAAACAAAACTCTGTTTTTGATGTACTTCCACAAAGAGCAGTCACACGGTGTTAAACCTGGACTTCTTGGTGGCCACCATGCCAAAGTGATGTTGTTGTCTGTTGAAAGGCCAGTGAAACGGCTAAACAGTTCTTCGTCCATACCGTGTTCTAAAATGATGCTGCAAAACAATAAATAATAATAATAACAGTAATAGTAACTTTTTCATATTCAAACATATAATTTTTTTCTATATGATTAGGGGTCATATTAATATCAAGAACGCTCATGTTATGATAATGCAACGAAAACAAATAAAACATTAAGTTACTTAAATATGTCAGAGCACTAGAAGGTATCTGTCTAAGAAAGAGAGATGCATTTGTGGAGAATTTTCTAAGGGAAACTGTGTGAATTCATGAAGAACTTTCTATGGTAATTATTTACGTTACATATGGGGAAAACCACAGCCATACAGCTAGCCCGTTTACTTCGGATCGAACCTAGGTGAAATTCCAGCATTCAGTGGTCTTAACCACTCAGCCACTGGTAGGGTTAATAAATAACAGAAGGAAGTCGTAAACTTGAAGACTTCCCTTATGAAACGGTTTTCAGTGCTTCCTTCCTTAAACCTCGATCATAATATCTTCTCCGGTGATTCCTTTTTTAGTACTTCCTTTTTAGTAAAAATAAATACTTTTCGATTTGTAAGCATTGATCTGTCTTTTTCTTTAAACTGAATCTGTATAATGAGTGGACTTTTTTGTTCATAATTACTAAGACTATCTTCCGTTACAGTTAAATGAGAGCAAATTATCCACTTTATTTATTTCAGAATCTTTATTTTAAATTATTTCAGTTTCTCATGGAAGTAGCCTGTTGTGCTCTGTACTTAATTCTGCATGCATATATGTACGGGATTTCATGAATCTTAGATCAAATCACGAGTGCTTCTATCAGAGGTTCATCAAATCTCCAATCTTATCTTCATTTAATGTCTTCCGTGTGATTTTAGATTAATTTCGCAAGAAAACAAAAGGAATTAATTTAAGTATAATAGATTAAATGACTACTGCCAGAATGCTAATAAATTTGATCTCTTGATTTGAATGCTTTGGACATAAAACACTAATGTTAGATATACAATGTTTTTTTTTTTTTTTTTTTTTTTTTTTGTTTTTTTTTTGTTTTTTTTTTTTTTTTTTTTTTTTTTTTTTTTTTTTTTTTTTTTGTTTTTTTTTTTTTTAAATGGCGGGGACTAGCCATTTTAGGCTTTAGCCACTACTAAGGCCAGAAGCGGTGGGCGTTTTATTATGAAGGCACCTAATAGGCGGCCGCCGTTACCTCCTATGAAGGGACAGATTAATTACATCCATGCCTTCTCCTTGATTCGAACCCGGGTCCTTCGGTGCGACAGTCAAAGCAACAATCCGCTTTCCCTTCTGAGTGGCTTTGGATACACAAATTAAATGTAATTTTCTAGCTTCAAGAAGGCTATGTAGAAATGGGTAAAATCCAATCTTAATCTGCTTCTGATTTCAAATGACAAGGCTGTGTGTACTATAGGAGGAAATCTGGTATGCTTCTTTCATCATCGGAAGCAAATATTCTACAAAAAGCATTCTAGTTGCGCAGTTAAAAAAAAAAAAAAAAAAAAAAAAAAGGCTGTTTTTTAGTCGATTAAAGTAAAGCATGACAAATGTAGGGGGGATTTTATCAGATAAGCTAGTTACGAAATAATCGCGAAATAGCCCATGAAGTTAGCTTAGTTACAAAAGATTCTAACCCGGAGTCAAGCTATAAGTATTCCTTATCCACTTAACAGCTAATGATCTTGCTGAGCGCTGGTAGTTTGACCTGAATCCTGATCCCAATAAATGGGCTGACTGCTTGGCTGTTTTCTTGCTTTTCCTCATGTGATGTAAAAAAGAGCCGATTTCCTTTAAAATGTCCTTCATGAAGGCATATTTTAAGTAAATAGCCCTCGCATCTTTTACTGTGTTCATGAAAACAAAAAAATAAACTGCTGAATCAACAGTTTAAAATACACTGAAGTGGCAAAAAGTAATGGGATTCCTCCTAATATTTTGTCGGTCCTCCTTTTGCCCGCGAGTGCAGCAACTCGACGGGCATGGGCTCAACAGTTGTTGGATGTCCCCTGCAGGAATACTGAGCCATGCTGCCCTATGGCGTCCATCTTGTGAGTGTTGACGGTGCAGGGTTTTGGGCATAACTGACCTCTCGATGAGGCCCATAAATGTTAGATGGGGATTCATTCGGCGATCTGGGGCCAGATCATTCCTGGAATTGTCAAATGTTCTTCTAACAATCGCGCAATTGGGCCCGTGACATGCGCGTGTCATCCATAAAATCGATCGTTTTTGAGTACGAAGTCCAGAAGGCTGTAAGTGATCTCCAAGTAGCTGAAGGTATCCATTCCGTAATGATCGGTTTCCGTTGCACCAGGACCGAGTCCATGCCATGTAAAACCCCAGACCATTATGGAACCACCACAGCTTGAACATGCTTTTTACAACTCGGGTCCATGGCTTTGTGGGGCTACGCCCCTCTACCCTACCCCCAGCCTTACCCAACTGATCGTGACTCATCTGACCAGCCACAGTTTTTCCATTCGTTTAGGACCAACCATATGCTCCGAGCCACAGTCGCTGCATCTATGTCGTGCTATCATTAAAGGCACCGAGTCGGTCTTTGCTGGCATAGCCCAAGGAAGACAAATTTCGCCGCTGTCTATCGGACCGTCTTCGTCCGTCCCATTATTTCTGCGGTTATTTGAGCAGTGTTGCATTCTGGAACACTGACAACTCTACGCAGGACCGTGTGGTCCTCGGTGTTAGTGCAGGTGTCGGCCACTGCGCTGTCCTGGTGGATGTTATGCCTAAATTAGATACTCTGGCACACTCTTGACACTGGATCTCGAATGTTGAATTCCTACGATATCCGAAATGGAATGCCCATCGTCTAGCTCAACTACCATCCGCGTTCAAAGTCTGTTATTCTCGTCGTGGGCCATATCACGTCCAAAGCCTTCACATGAAAACTGGAACACAAATAAGCCTGCCAAAGCACTTCGCATTTATACTTTCTACGCGATACTACTGCCATCTGTATATTTGCATATTGCTATCCCATGACTTTTGTCACTTCAATGTATAAGCAAGATTTTGAGACAAGCAGAAATGATGCGGACAGACAATAAGTGAAAGGTTTGACTTGCATTTTAAGTTTAAGTTCTATAAAACATTTTTAAGTTTTTCAAAAGTATTTAGGTGGCTTTTATACCTTACATTACTGAATCTATCTAATATGATCCGTGCAGTTGTTGGTAATGGATGATATACGGGATGATGCTAGAACAGTACTTCTAATACAAAAATATGTTTAAATTGTGGTTAGAATTAAATTTTATCACTTCCACAATAGTGGGAAATATGAAACAGGAGAAAATATTTTTAGGCAGCTCTTGTCTTCGGTAATTTAGATTGCGTGACCGGAAAAATCTGCTTAGATACTTCTACTGAATTAAAAAAAAAGAACAAGGACGAAAATTCTAACTGCAAAACTCATAAAGACAAGAGCTGTGAAAATAGAAATTGGAGATAGTTCAAAAACTATACAAATACATACAGAAATATTAAATGAATTTTTTCTGTTTTTAATTTTTATAGATTTCTTTTTATAAAAACCTCAAAAATGTTGTTTAGGCTTTCTATTTCATTTGGAAACGATCACAAAGTTTGAACCTTTCACCTTTTATGATCCTTGACGAATGAAGTCAGCAGTGAGAATTTATTTAAAATGCTTCAATATTTATATGGCCTTTGAATCCGTCTGAAAGTTTTTTTGCGGCCCATTAGTATGACATAAGAATGAATGATACGGTCCTCGAGATAGGGTACTCAAAAACCTTCTGAATTTTTTTTAGTTGATACCACAGAACAAAGATATAAGTAGGGAAATCCGTATCGCCATAAGTTATTGCTAGCATTGTTGCAAATACCTTAAACGCTCTGCGTTACTTACAAGACAGTTTCTTTCAACCTTGAACGGTTCACCAGAGTCGAGCGGTAAGATTGTTGAACACTGGTAGTTCGAAGCGAGTTTGAGTTCCGGTGAACGGGCTGGCTGCATGGTAGATTTTGTGATTTTGTCCGTGTAAAATATAAATACGGGCAAATTTCCCTTAAAAGTATCCTCCCCGAAATCATCCCTCACCTTAGGGAGATAGACTTTGCGTGATTTGGCATAATGCAAGTAATCCCAAATGTTCCCTTGAATGTTCAGGGGGCCTGAAAATATGTATACATAGTCAAGTCACATTAATGATACCATCTTTTATTGCCCAGAACAACCACCATGTGCAGCGCAGGCAGCAACTAATTGGGTTATTGGGTTGGTAGGGACTCAGAAAAGTGCCGGAAAGTATTCGTAGAGATATGGAAACATGGTGACTCCACTGCAGTTCACAGATACTAGAGGATGTATGGCGGAGTATCCATAGAGCAAATAACTCGATCGTGTTGGTCCCATAAATTTTCGACTAGGTTTAAGTCTGGGAAATTTGGGCGCATTGAAATATTTTTCGTACTCTCTTAACCACTTACGTATATTCCTAGCTGTGTGATACGTCTTATTGTCGTGCTAAAAGATGCCATCATTTCTAGAGGGAAAAAGCATCCACGAGAGTGTACATGGTGTGCAAGTTTAATGCGATCCATAGCGTCATCCATCATAATGGGACCCAGAGGAGGCCACGAAAACATTTTCCAGACCCATAACTTTGCTTCCGGAAGCTTATATTCGACAACTGGATGAGGGCTGTTTATTTTCCGGAGTTTCTCTCTCGCTAACATTATAAGGTATTTCTTCCGCCTTCTTAGCGTGCCTTCGTGGTGTTGTGGTCTGCACGCTGAGCGCGTTATTCCAGTGGTCCGCGGTTCAATTCCCGGCGACGTCGTTGCTCCTTTTTCATCACTCCTGCTTTCAAAAAAATACCTGATATCTCTACAGTGGCGCCCGAACTAAAAAGGTGGTGGATAATGAAGCTCCACGCCCAGGATTTGGCGATTGAGTCCCCTAATCCCCAGTCGCCCTTTAAAAGGGGGAGTATATAAGATATTTTTCCCGCCTTCTTAGCGTTCTTTCATGGTGTAGTGGTCTGCACGTTGGGCGCGTATTCAAGATGTCCGAGGTTCGATTCCCGGCGAAGTCGTTGCCCAGTTTTCATCACTCCTGCTTTCAAAAAATACCTAAAGTCTCTACAACATCGGCCTGTCCAATAAAGCAAAAAACGTGATTCATCGGAGAAGGCAACATTTTGCTAGACAGTGCATGGCTATTGTTGGTACTACCGTGCAAATTCCAACATGTTTGCCCCATACGCAGCCAGGTGCGTTGAACTGTCTTCGCCACAACTGTAGAATCTCCTCCCATCCGGTGCATTTGGGCAATATGTTGCTTCATTGTAATATGTGAAATCAGCTTGAATGCACCACTACAAGTGCCATTCACTTCTTTCATTTATTGCTCGTGGTGGTTCACTATTTCTACTCCGCTTAATTTTCAGGGTACCCTTTCCCCATTCATAGTACACTTTCACCCCAGCAGCACGTGAACAAGTCAGAAACTGAGCAGTTCTAAAATGCTTCTCCTTCGGCCCGAAAGTCAATAATCATTCCTTTTTGTAAGCCTGATAAATCGCTTCATTTATTCACCATTAACATCGACTGAACATCAACTGAAATGTTCCCCAAATGCCCCGAATACCCACCAAATCTGCAACTGACATGTGGCTTACGTCACTGGTTATTTATCACTCATGTCAAACATAGATGGTGGTCACATTAATATGACTCAACTCTGCATGAATCTGTTGATATAGAAATATATAATGGTAAAAGAATTAGCTGCTGAATTGCTGTAACTTAGCAGTTGTTTCCTTATATTTTTACAAAAGATCATTTACAAAACATATATTCTTATTGTCAATACATGTTAACTGAACAGGTTATTTCAACGATTGAATAGAAAAGAAGCAAAATTATCTTTGAAAAATGCGTCCAGAACTCACTGCTTTGAAAATCATTCATGTTTGTAATATAAATAATATACATTTTGTTTTGACAATCTGCACGCTAATAAAGATTAAATGCATAGCACAGATGAGGCGTAGTGTAACAATTATTAAAACTGTTACATAATTTACACCAGATACGTTCACTGAATAGGAATCAAAAAGTAATTTTCGGTTTATAAATAAATGCAGTTTAAATGGAAAATTTTAATTCGTCTGTGACAGTAGTTTGATTATATGTAAATTACTAAATAACTATGTAACGTAACAATTTATTATGAAGCAATCATTGCCACAAATAAGGAGTCTAAAACTGATTAACATCGAAATACAAGTCAAGAAGTGAAATGCTGCGAAGAGTTTTCAGTTCCCGTGAGATGTAAAGTGAACTCCCACGTGCGCCATATAAAGATAATTTGTCTTTGATACTAAATGACAAAATCTATTCATTAAACCAGTTTAACATTCAAGCCCTAGACGGTATAGGATTTCATGCACAAAACGGTGGCCGCCGATTATGCGCCTCAACAGTAAAATGGCTACCACATCTGGCCAATGCTGAATAGGCAAGTGGTCGCCATTGGATTAAAAAAAAAAAAAAAAAAAAAAAAAACAAGCCAACTTAGTATATCAAGTAAGAAGATCTTCCACATTAGATGTTTATTTATTTATTTGAATTTACAAAAATAAAAATTTTAATTTTCCATTTCATTTAGTAAAGCACTCCTAACTGTTGTGGGACACAAAAGATTTTGGGCTTATTTACCTCGAAGACCACAGCAAGATGGATAAATATTTACTCAAACTGCATACGTTAGCCAGCAAATAAGTGACTTCCAGGGTTTTCTTACTTAGAATAAAAGATCTCATAGATATTAATCAAACTAAAAATATTCACTTACTAGTAGGGTAAAATAGTAGTTAAATTTGAATATGATTATATGTACAAAATCACTTATATGTGTACATCTAATAGGTTAAGAGCTGAAGTAGATCAGTATATAAAATAAAGCCTCTTAACAGCGATGATTATTTTGGTATGTCTACTGATTTTTATTAAGTATATAGCAGTTTTATTAAGTATATAAGGCAAAAACTCTGTATCTCAAATTTTGAAAAGCTTGATGCTGGATTTTGATATAGTTGAGCTTAAAAAGATGATTGAAATAATTTCTTGAATTTTAAAGTAAAATAAATAACATTTGATTGAAATATATAGTAATCTGTGGAATATTTTTATCAGTCCTTTCATTTAGTGCTATTAAGTATTTCGCCTATGTGTTTTTACGAATTATTTTAAATGTTTCTTTCGAATAGGAAGCAGTGCCACTTAGAGTTCATAGTATTTTGGATCACATAATCCCTGCTTCAAAAATTATGGATTCTGTGCTGATAAATCTGAAAGGGGAGCATTGGAAAGATATAAGACGTATTCTTTCTGCCACTTTCTCTATAAACAAGATGAAGCTGGTAAAGTATTAATTTTATCAATAATTCTTCGTTTTCTAGTTATATGTATCACTAATTCAGAGATGTAAAATGAATTTTATATTGTGTAATTGAATTTAAATACTGAAAGAAAAAAAATCTGTTAATCCAAAAATAATAATGTTACTGTGTATAGATATAAATTTGGTTATTAATTTTCTACTTATGATTATATCCTAAGAAAGAAAATGTTAAACTATTGCAAACTGAAACTAGGAAATGTTAATACTTAAGAAGAATGTGTTAAATCTACGAAAAACTTGTAATAAACTTTAAAGGGCAGGAAAAATTGCTTCTTGTTAATTTATTTTTAATTCTTGACCCATCAGCTCTATGAAATGTAGGAGAATAACTTAAGGTTTTAATTAAAATAATTTTTGACTATATTAAGAACTGTTGGTTTAATATTTTTCAGATGATTCCTGCTGTTGAAAAAGTAACAGATGTTATGTCAACCATTCTGGAAGAGAAATCTATTCTAAATGAAGCAGTGAACGTCCATGAAATGCTGCAAAGACTCACACTCGACATAATCTGTGCTCAGGCATTTGCAATGGACACGGATTTTCAGAATAAGACAGATGATGTTTTGTTTAGAAGCGCAGAAACTATATTTGAACTTGAATATAAATCTAAACTTATGTTTTTTGGCTGTAAGTAATAACAGTTATTCTTTCGCCTTCAGTTATTATGTTACAATGAATGTTTTATTTTATGATTTATGTCTGTAATAATTTTTGAATAGAAAGCACCAATCTCTTACGTTTAATCCCTTTTTCGGCCGAAATAGACAATGTATTGAATTGATTATTACTCCTAACCCTGAGATAACCAATTATATAGAATTAGCGCGATTGTGGTAGAAATGTACCTACTATTCTGACCATAGATCGAAACGTCCAGACAAGTCAAGTACTATTTTGTTATAGATGGCATTAATGCAAATGGCGCAGGACATGTTGGCTTAATTCAGTGGTTCCCAAATTGTTTTATGCCTCCCATCCCCCACTTTATGCCCAGTTCCTCAGAACTTTTTAAATGTCACTTAAAATTCTTGGCAACTTATTTTAAATTTCACCTCTTCACGATTCCACAGAAATTTATCAGAAGCTATATTATGTAGAGTCCACAAAAAATGGAATAACACTGCAGCGTGTGATTGAGAGTTTAGAAGAAACAAAATGCCACTAGGATGGTTTTGGCTAGCCGCTTTGTGTCAGGAGATACACGATTTTAAAACCCATGATGTCTCTCCCAGCTTCCCCAGATGAAGAGACATCTGTGATTTTCTCTTCGTTTCTGTAGATTCCCAGAGCTTGAACTCCCTTTCTCAGTTTCATTTCGTCTTATGTAGCCATATGAAATCTGTAATGAACCGGAGTCTTTGAACATTAGAAAGGAGTTCAGTGAACCCGTTTGCGGTTATCCTTAGATAACATACGGAATATAAAAGCCTAGGTAGCGACGCCAGGCATCTTTCAATATGTCAAACAGTCCGTATCCCAGTCAGGCTGAGCCACTCGTATTAAAGTCAACAATCAGAGATTTGAACATTCTACACTATGTAGTACATCATGTGGGACACTGAAGACCAGCGACTACATCCACCGCATTCTTAAACAGAAGTCAGTTTAAGACGATTATAAAGTTTACCAATCTTCTTAGGTATCATAAATCGTAACCAAACTTTTGATAGACTAGCAGCGAATTATCGCTAAGTTTAAAATAAGAATTGAAACTTGAGAATGTTGTAAAAGACTCTTTTAAATTTTAAACTAAGAACAGAAGGCACACCTGTTGTTACAAGTTCAGCCAGCTCTTATGACGAGATAACTTAAAGTAACACTAAGGCAAATGTAAAATTAAATTGAAGCTAACTAGTAACCAAAGCCTACACAGATCAATTTAACTTGAAATTGGCTCACAATCTAACTGGCGTGGAGATTCAGTATCGGCGATTATAATGCAAGGTCTACAAATCTTATTTGAGCTAGCAACCTAGTAATGTGACCTCGAGAAGTAGAACACACTCTGTCTTAAAGTCGTATCACAAATTCAAAACAAAACTCTATAGAACAATATTTTCTGCTTCATCACACGATACGAAACAGCCAATCGCCACGGATCGTTTAGGGGTCTCAATGTAAAGGGGAAACTAGTTCTTCAATACAAATGACGGTTGATGACGGAGAGAGGGGGATTCGATGCTGATAGCTGATTGGTCGTGGAAACCGAACGACTTACAATTTTTTCCAAAAGGAAGGGGAAATTATGTATCTTTCTTTCAATGGTAAAGCAGGTGGAAAATTGCCTGAAACAGTTGCTGGTCTGAAATAAAAGGATCTGTGATACCAGCCTTACAATCTAAAAAACTTCATCTTAAAGTCATTCTGGCGGAAAACCGGAAGGAAGAAGTGACAGTAAAAGTCTAAATGGTAAAATAACTTGTAAATTAACTTAAAGGAACTCTACAAGATGTTGCTACATCGCAGTTCCCTTCATTCGTCTGGCCGGAAGTGACATCACTCAAATTTGAAATCGCATATTTCCTGATTCGCAATCGTTGTGCAATTACGAAAATAACTGCAATCATTTAAATAGCATTTTCTTTCTTCTAACCTCTGGAATACGCCCTTGTCTGACTTTTTCTGGGACATTGTATAACAAATTGGAGTTACTATCATATCTAAATTATAAATTGTTTTAAGGAAATTCATAATTTTTTTTTAAATTCCAAACTTGTTATATATAAATTCCGCATTAATGCAAAATTTATTCCCATATTATGCATTCGTATAAGGAACGACATAGAAGTTTGTTATACATTATTAAAATATAAACATTACTGAACGCTACTATCTTCATGTTATTAATTTATCGAATAATTTTTCTTTTCAGTATGCTTTCCGGAGCTTGGAATATTTGCAATGGCAATCAATTTCTTAAAAATGTTTTTTGCAAATAATGGCACAATTCCACCTCTCACAATAACGTCTGCAGTTGAAGAAGTAATTAAACAAAGGAGAAAAGATCCAAGTGTAAGTTACAGATTAATAAATATTTAATTTTGCAACCTTTTTTTTAGCGTAACTCAGTGACATGAAGAACCCAAAGTTAACACTGTTAAACACAATAAAATCTTAGGTTAATTTAATGAGTATTTTCTACAAAAATATTTTATTTCATCCTGATGGAATAATTTTTTTTGATAAATTATGTGACTATATATACTCACATATAAAAGTGACAGCACCTTTTCCGTGTTTCCACTAAGTGTTCGTAAAAGTTTAACGATAGTTGTTTCGTATGAGTCATTCAATTACCAGCTAGTTATTAAAAAATATCTTTAAATTTTTTATGGGTACACCTTTCATACTTCATTTATTTTTTCCCGCGTTCCGAAAGAGGATTTTTTAATATGTCTGTTAAATATTTTGACATAAGTTCACTTCTTTACTAGGTGACGGAAAATTCAGATATTTTCCACTGCATTACAACGAAATCAGCACAGACATTAACACGGTATCCACAAAGCTCCTTACTCTGCTTTTATTTCCTCAATCATTGGTCACAGACATATACCTCCAGTAATAAAAATGTTTTAAATGATGTAAAGATTCATGCTTTGGCATTTTACAATTTAAAGAATTCAGTTTTCAATAGCTAACTTTTAACATGTTCCTCCGCTCTCTATATTTATATTTTCATTTATTTAGGAAATTTTATTTATTTTTACTTAGTTTTATAAACATTTTATACTTGTTATAAAACTTGACAAACATATTTGTTATAAAATTCGGGAACCATATTCGAGGGCCGTACACAAAATTGAAGACCCACATGTTTACATTAATACGTAACCTGAAGATAAAATATCATTAAAAAAAAGGTTTCTGATGTTAACAAATTACCTGATGAGAATTTCTATGCCGATTATTGTGAAAAATATTGATCAATATAATTTGTTTTTTCAAAAAGGAGATCATATTCACAGAATCATATAGAAATGTTTTCTAGAAAACATTGGCAGGACTTCAGTATTGACACGCAACCCAACTTGTAAGATTATTTGCATTAATTTCAAATGAAACATTTCTGTACTTAAATGAATTTTTTACTATTACCAAACAGGTTAGGATTCTGTGGTAATAAAACCTCACTAGAATACCATTAGCGTATTTTTAGAATTTGAAAACTTTCAAAATTCTTTCGGCATATCAAATGTAATAAAATTATAAGTAAAGATACTAGTAAATCACACACAAAAAAAGTATTGTTGCATGGCATTTAAGGGAAAAACAACTTCAATTAACCTAATTCATTTATTAACCGTAAGGCAAATTCAAAATGGCGTCAAATATCGCAAATTTTGAAATTAAATATCTTGATCAACTTTTGTTATACTTTTTGTGCTTTCTTTGTCATATTTTGTGCGTTTAATTTTTTTTATTAGGAGTACAATTCTTTTTTAATATAAATGTAGGAAAGGGAGGAATGTGTGAAGTTAGATTTTGTACTTTATACATTTTTTTTTAATTTAAAAATACGAAGAAAAGGATCTTTGTAACACTTAAAACATTTTTGTAATTAAAGTATGTGTCTACGACCAACGGTTGGGAAAATGAAAGCGGGATAATAACTTTTGTGGACCCTGTGTATAAAATTATGAGGGATGGATAATTTTATTACGTTCGTAATTTAATTACATTTATATTCACTAGACTTACAGAATTCAAAGAAGCAATAAGTTCATGAGGATGTTGAATTCTGTAAGTTAGATTAAGTTAAATGAATAAAGAAAAGTGCATAAGGGCTATCTGCCGAAAGAGAAAGGTACCTTCGTGAAATACTTTCTAAGTAAACTGTCTTGTTTTTACGTTACACACAGGCACTGAAAAAAATCTCATGTAGATAATCCATTAGACGGTATTTGAAACTGAATCGAACTACCGGTTTTCAGCGATACCGTTCATCGCGCCTACTATAGTATGCTGCATTGTATAAAAAATACCTATGAATGATTAATTTCGCACTCTTCAGAGTGTAGTTCGATAATGAAACTAAGGAAACTTGTGTGCATTGGTGGCATTGATAGTGTTCCGTTCTATTAACCTCATTCAGATAAGGAATTGCAATTGCAACCATGGTATTCTTACACTGTGGTTACAATATACTTTCACCATGATTGTGTCTATAATTTCTAATCTTTCGCTTCGTAGAAGAGTGCTCAAAGAATCAGTCGTTCTTAATAATTACTTTATTATATTCCTCAGCCCCGAATATAGTCTTTTGCAATTATAAGTTTAAAAAGGCTGAGTCTGGTAACTTATAGTGATGAAATACTCCATTTTATTGATTTAAAATTAATTATGTGACGCTTGATTTTAAATTTTTTACAGAGCAGAAAACCAGATCTGCTGCAACTGCTAATTGATGCTTCAGCTGCAGACACTGACGAGACCTCTCAGGCTTCTGATAGTTCTGGCACCAAGGGCGGAGGTTTCGTAAAATAGGATGCTTATTGTTCTGTTCTCCTTTTTAGGCTAGCATTTATTATTATACAATAACTTTTATTAAACAGTAAAAAAAAATCTTTCGCAATCGGTTTCATTCAGTGTTTTAAAACTTAAATGAAAAATGAGACAATAGATCTTGAACTAATTTTTGTGCGCATGTTGGAAGCTAACCTGAAATATCTTGTTTAAAATATTCTAGATTCTACACAAATCAGAAGGAAGAGGAAACATCTGACGGATCTAGAAATCAAATCAAATGCACTTGTTGTATTTTTAGCTGGGTAAGTGTGAGGATCTTTATCATCTGGGATTAAATAACATAGTGCCACTTAACAAAGAAAAAAATTTAATTCAGTTGATATTATAACCTCTGTTTTACTTAGAAAAATATCTTGTGGAATGTGATTCTGCTGGATGTTCAAGGGACGCAATGAAGTATGAAATGGTAAATACGCAATAAACTAATACAGGATTTATTTTTAGGTCTTCAAAATATAAGCAATATGACGTAATAACGAAATAATATAAATTAGATCTCATTATTTTTGGGTGTCCAAATAGTGGTTAGTGAAACAACCTGCCGCACCAAAGGACCAGGGATCGAATCCCAGAGAAGGTATGGATGTTTGCACGCGTATAGTGTCCGTACGGCATGAAGGCATTCAAAATACTCGGCTAGCCGAAAGTCCTCTCGAGAGATGGCTGGTAATGAAAGAGGAGTGGGAGACCCTCAGACCGCCCCCCCCCCGCCCGGTGTGTTCTTCCTCAAAATTGGCGCGGAACTTAACAGTTAGCTAGGTTCAGCAATACCATCAGCATAAATCGTCAGTTAGTGTTACTACAAAGGTGCTCCCCTAGCTTCTACCTTTACCTGCGTTTGGGTGGACTACTGCAGCTTTCAGTCGCACCTTTCAGTTATCGTAAGCTTGCTTTGTTTCTTTTGTAGGCTACCTGAAAAACAAATTACAAACTTTTCGCTGCTACACTTAATGCGAACTTTGTGTAGTTTGATGTGTTACAGTTCGATATGTGTTAAAAAAATTTCTCAGGCACCACATCTCAATCATAAGAAAATAAATTGAAATTAAAATGTTTCGATTGTTTGCAACGAAGTGGGATGTTCAAATAAACTACTTTGATTCACATATTTTTTATTAATTACGCACCATTAGCATAAATCATTATAAAATAGAAATTCATTATTGATTTAGCTTAACCGCGTTAAATAATTGCCCATGTATCTCAAAGCCCTTTCGTAAATACATTCTTGAGTCGGCCTAAATAGTGATTTAAATGATGATGATTTATCAAAATGTAGTAATAATTACGAATGTAAAGGTAAGAAGCATGCTCTTCCATAAAAATAGGTGTTATTTATTAAAATGAAGAAAAACCGCTATCCCATCACTTTTAAAATGAAGATATCTCAGTGATGTGCAATAATATACCTGAAATAATTGCCTGAATAATACCTTTGTGCAATAATATATCTGGAAACATTCCTGGGAACATATTCTAAATGATAACAGGGGAAAACTGAGGAAAAGAACTTTCAGTTAAAAATAAAACTACGGAAAAAATTTCCATACTAGGAAAAAATCTTTATTTTCATTTAGTATGCATACACTTACATGATTCCATTTGCATTTACTCATAGACCGAGGAAAAAGACTGATGGGCAATGGTAGTTTGATCTGGGTTCGAATCTTGTAGAGTCATAAAGTCTTACTTTAGAGCAGGAAAAATGAAATGCCCTTTCCGAGTTGAATTCCGGACTTCCCACGTGCCAGTCGGACGTGTTTCCAACTGCAACACGAAAGAATACGGTGAATAAGGAGAAAATTTCTCACAATGTTGATAATTGGGGGGGGGGAGGATATTTGTGATTTTTCATTATGTAATGTAAGTGCTTGAAATGCTTCTACATATCTTCAGTAAAAATCTGTTTTAAGACGATATGAAAGGTCTTAATTCTTTACCAAAACAATTTTCCGTTTCTGTATCTCTTCGAGAAAAATATAGAATTATGAAAAATTTCACATCTATACCAGATATCAAATTATTATAAGAGAAAGTGTTAGTGCCGGTAATTATATTGCTGCTTACCATATCGCTTTTTAACTCATAAATCTTTCATTGTACCTACAGAAAAGGAAATTTATATTGCGGAACGAAATAAAGACAAAGACAATCTTAAAACATACAGAGCTGGCGCTAGGCACTTTGCCGCCCGGTGCAAACGTCGCAATTTCTAAATTTTGCTACCCGGTGCCTTTCTAAGTTCTAAAAATTCCCCCCCCCCATAATTTCTGCAGTCTAGTGCCTCCCCTAAAATCTAAATATTTTACTATTCCTAACTATTACTTCTCGGTACCTCTTCAAATTCTAAAAATTTTGCCATCCCTAAATTCTGTCGCCGGCGTAGTCGCATCGGCCCTGGCTTTTGGCTCTGATAACAAACAAATATAAGCTACTAGAACTGATAAATTAGGCCTATGACTGAAAAAAATCCTGAAAATAAAAGTAAAATATGCATATGATTAGGGAAATAATATGTGTGAAATACATATAATCAAAGAGATACAATAATCAGGCAATAACCATGAGCAAGAAATACGAAGTTTCACTGCATATAAACAGTTTTCACAAATATACCTGTTTACAAGGGATTGTACTTGAGTTGCGTTCTTGCATCATCCGAAATCTTATCGATTCTGATCCGCCTTAGGAGCATACACTAGTTCCAAAATCAAACAGATGTTAAGCGAATTATCGCTGTTTCTGAAATTATGAAAAGGTTTAAAGAAACCTTTTTATTAAAACATAGCTTTGAACATAAATACGCTTCTTGTGGTTACAGCATCAAACACCACTTGTGGTAATGCAACTAAAATAACAGTCAAATTTAGATTAAAACGTGACTAGAAGTCAAAGACTACGTAATTAAATTTACTAAATATAAGTTGGCTCACCTAGCTCACAACCTAACCAGCGTAATAATTTACAAGTCGACAGCAATAACGGAAGCCAAATAAATACAAACTTATCAAAGTTGGCAGGAACTACGTAACGTGCCGCGAGGGGCAGAACACGCTTTGTCTTACAATCCTAAAAACTTTAGCTTAAATACTTTCTAGCTCAATTTAGGTACTGGTGAGGAAAACGGAAGGAGAAGTTATAGCAAAAAACTGAATCATAATAACTGGCTAGTTTCAAATAATAACCCTATAAGGTATTTCTCCGGCGTTCTTAGCATGCCTTCGTGGTGTTGTGGTCTGTACGCTGGGCGCGTATTCCAGAGGTCCGTAGTTCGATTCCCGGAGAGGGCGTTGCTCATTTTTCATCTTTCCTGCTTCCAAAAAATACCTAATGTCTTTACAACCCTACAAGCTTAAAAATTTATATTTATATATTTATGTAACAAGCTAAAATGTGGGGTCATCGGACCGCCTTTGGCGGCTATACAGACAACAACACGTCTAGGTACAGACGCGTGTGGGCTGTCTCCTGAGGGACAGATGTGTGCTCCCTGTTAGCTATTTGTCACATTTCTTCTTGTGAATGCTGCGGTGGCAATGAACACAAGCGACGTCTAATCACGTCCCAGATATGTTCGATGAGGAAAATATCCGGGGATACAGAGGACCAGAGAAGTACCTGGGTACCTTGCAGGGCATGTTGACTGATTCGCGCTCTGTGCGTTATCCTGCTGGTAAACGGCATTCTGCACCTTCTAAAAGAAGAATAGATATACCGGATGGAACATGTCGTTAAGCATCTCATTGCCAACAATACGGACTAGTGAGCTGCTGTCGTAGGCGATGCGCCCCAAACCATGACGAGGCATTGTCACGCAGTGTGGCATTCCACAGTTGCGGCTGGATTGGAAATGTCACGACATCGTCACCAGACTCATTCATGGTGACTGTCATTACTTAAACAAACGCGACTCTTCGGAAAACACCACATTATATATTCCGAAGTCCACATGGCTCTATCCCGACACCATCGCAAATGGAGGCACCTGTATTGTTGTCTCAATGGCAGCCTTTTTGCGGAGTCACATCATGCGTGCAGATGCATCGGTCTGAGCGCAATGAAGTTACTCTGGCGGCATCCCTACTGCCGAAACGTGACATATTTCCTTCTTCCTGCCATCATCACCGCAGCCGGTACACCGTAGACGAGTGTGCCTGTCCGCTGCGATTAGGCGCTGCTCTTCTCAGTTTGATCACCATATCTTTAGTATACTCGTCTGTTTGCTAGAAATGCCTTGGTTGTAGGCGTGCTAGCATTCTCCGTAGCCTACAGTCGATCTGTACTGGGTAGTTACGCTTTCTCTGCGATAGGAAACAATTTGAAAAAAGTTACTCCGTTCGCCGAAGCAACACAACTATTGTCGATTCAGGAGACTCTTTCTCTTATTTTTTGATTCAGTTACGCTAGAGTGCAACGGATTTCGCACCATTTGCATAACTTGGTGCACTGTGTCTACCTTGCAATTTGCATATTCTTCGGAGCATGCGTTCATGCTGTTACATTTTTCACTGTCACGCTCTATATTTATTTTCTTGTGCTCAAATTTTATTATTAGATTATTGGTGTACATTACATTCAGATCTTCGTTTTTAATAATACAAAAATAAGGATTAAAACTGATTCAGATTTAAGTCAAATAAAATGTTAGTTAGTTAGCAAGCTCAGTCAAATAAAATGGAAATTTTATTGATGGAAAATTATTTGGAAATACCGTTAACATTACTTGAGAAACTGTAAGTTATGTCGCCGTTAAGAATCAAAATTTGGAAGTCTATTGCTCTGTAAAATTAAAAGTTCATAAATTTCTACGTTTTTCTTTCTTCCTTGTAGATACGAGACAACTAGCTCTGCTCTCGCATTTGCCTTCCATTTTTTAGTAAAATATCCGGAATTTCAAAAGAAAATTCAAGCAGAAATAGATCATCTTATAAAGACAGAAGTAAGTAGCTTGATTTCTTTGAGCAACAAAAGAAATTATTTTTTTTTAAAACTGAAATATTGTACAATTGTTCAATTCATTAACCTAAATTAATTAATAAATATTTTCTTATTTTAGCTCAAAGCTTTAGTTGAATTTAGCCTTGCAATGAAAGCATGAAATAACAATTACTTTAATCATAGTGGTTACCCATATCAAAATTGTATTATTTTTTCAGTGTTTAGCACTCTAAATCCAATTTAATTATAATCTGATTCTAAGGAAGTATTTCATATTCATTAGTTATAATCTGGCGTTCTGTTAAATGGCCAAATAATAATAGATTAGTACTTGTTAAGCCAACTTGAATACAACGTGAATTCTTTTTGGTGTTAAGCGAAGGGGACTATTAGGTCAATGAGCTACGGTTCAAAGCTATTGTAAGTTTTATATCACTGCATCTACAAGATAGGCCACGTAAAACTTGGTAGTCCGAAAGTTCTGTTAAAGAAATGATTATTTAAAAAAAGGGGTATGAGATCTACGGATACCGTCTTCCATTAAGCTGCACGTTTAGGAATGATGGATTTCTTTGATTGTAAATGAGAGATAATATTTGGCTACTGAATAATATAGTTACATGTGCCTGTTTCATCTTTATTTATGTATCTATCCAAACATACTGCTAACAGCACGCATATTTCGAACAGCAAATAAGCATGAATACAATGATCTGCATCTTCTGTTTTCTGCTGGTTTGATAGTAGTGGATCCATTCGTAGAAACTCCCTTTTGATTGCGTTTCACAGATTTGAAATGAGGTTCAAATGTGAGGATTGAGGACTGAAAATTGAGGATGAACCGCAGCAAAGACTAACAGACGAACTATTCGTATACAGTGACAGAATATTGTTCTGATGGAACTATCCATTGCCGTTCGGATGAACGTTTCTTTGAGGAGCTTGATTAGTAATCATTGCCCTGGTTAGTCAGGCAATGCATCACGCAAGTAAAAAGTACCTGGAAATTAGCATGGAAGCATGCCCAGTATCTTTACAACGTTTTCGAGCGAATACTCTCATATAATCATCTTAATCTCTGAAAAGGTGATTCATCACACTTCATTATATATTTCAAATTCCTTTTTGCCTAATTCGTGTTTCCTACGCTATGCGAAAACGATTCATTTATTCACCAGTAAATAAGTATAGCATAAGCACAGTCCTTCTGCTTCCATAGCCCATATGATGTAATGTGTTGTGTATAGTTCATTAAAAGACCCTTTTGCACTGTTTCCGGATTTACCTCTCAGATTGTATCCTTTAGGCATTATTAGACATATTTTTGTTTCAATTTTAAATTTTCAATCGCTTTCCTAATCTCAGTTACATTGAATGAATTAAACTAATACTGTTCCTGCTGTATTGGACGCATTAAATTACTATTGTCTTAATATTGAATTCATTTAATGCATATCGATAACATATGACTTCCTTTCTCAGGGCGAGTTAAATTATTATACGGTTACGAGCTTGCAGCAGATCGAAAGGGTTCTTTTGGAAACTATGAGACTTTATCCTCCGGCAGCAAAGTAAGTTCATTTTAGTTTAACGCATTCAAATTACATTCCTTAAGATCTTTTCTCTACTATAGGCGAATAGATTCGATAATCTTACATAGTAATTCATGCTGATATAATGTCTTTTTGGCTGATGATAATGGTTGCCTGCTCATATTGAATAATTAATTTGAAAATCCTTCATTAAAATTATTGATTTCTTTTCTGCTACAAATGGCAAACATTTTATAGCATCGGAATTTATATTACTTATTTTTATTATTCATCAAAATTAAGCAAATTTATATTTAATTTTTTTTTAATTTCTAATTCAGATGAATCTTTTTTTGTTGATCTCTTTGATTAAACATTTGTATGGAATCTGAAAAATTAGTAAATGTAACAGATAGATGCCAGCTTTAAAATTTTGAAAACTTCGGCATTACATTTTCGATGACAACACATAAAAAAGTTCTGTTACTTCAACGAAAAATTCTGACGCCATTCTCTTTACGTCAGAAAATTTGACATTACGCTCTGCCATAGTAGTTGTGTGTTACCTCCATCTGCGGCAACCATGCATCTGCAGAAAACGTCTGCCTTAACATGCATTACAAGAAGTATATATGAATGGGACGAGGTGGGTCACATTTGAGCGCCTTTTCATATAGCGATTTCTAAACCCCGTTGGTACAAAGAGAGAGGACACGGAAAACTGTTTTCCGCTTGCAATATTAATATCGTGGGTATGCTACCATCTCTGTGCTAAAAGGGATTCGTATCAGTTTCAGTTTTTTTTCTTTAGCTGTTTTATTTGAAACCAACGTTAGTTTAAGAATGAATTTTCCATAGATTTATGGGGGCTAAAGAAAATAACCAAGCTTTGCATTTCAAAGTTAAACTCATTAAACTTTTTTAAGCGAAAATAAAATTAAGTATACAGTCACCGCTAAAAAAACTTAAACTTCTTGTCCTCCCCCCTTTTTTTTCTAAAATTGCATGTAACACTTTTAAAAGAATAACAGAAGATATTTTATATATCAAACATCATAGAGAAACTTCATCACATTTTACAAAATTTTATAAGTCATTTTATAAGTCACATGTAGCTCTGTCACAGATATAAAATTCGATCATTTCCCGATAAGGTAAAATTAAAACTAGGAAGTAACTTTTGAAATTTAATAAAATCGTAATTCAGTATTCATATCTTTCTAGCTCATTAATAAGATAAACTTTTGCAGTTTTGTGAATAGAATAGCAGTGACTGATGTAAACTACGATGATCTATATATTCCTAAAGGACTTCAAATCGATGTGCCAGTTTATTATATGCATCATTCTCCTGATTGTTGGCCGAGACCAGATGTCTTTGATCCAAATAGGTAACGTATGGGCATTTAAAACTTTAATTTTAAGGTTTTAAAGAGTAGTATTATAATAGCAAAGCGAAAATGTTTTTTTTAATTGATTTAAATGTTTTACCAGATATATTGTGTATGACTGATTGGCACTACAAAGACATTAATGGTAATTCTTCTTTTCTTCTGATATTCCACATAGCATAAAATGTTATGATAGTAGTCTTAACAAGTTGATTTAAACTTAAAACTTTAAACGAATAATAAAAAAATGAAAAGCGTAATTACTTCTTGACAATGCTTCTCAATTCTTACCTTACGGAATCCATTTACACGAATGCATTATATTATAATTACCTCAGACTGAAGGTTATTACATTCCGATAGGTCAACGCTGCTAAAAAATAACTGAAATAAATCTCCATTAGTTTAATTTCTTTAAATACCAATTGCATTTTATTTCTGAAATGTTAAACAACTTTCCACACATTGAAGTACATTTAATTTTTAGACACCAATCAAAAGTACTGAGGCTATTTTGAAGGACCTTGTAAGCTTGATTAAACAGTTATTTTATGTTACGAAGCTTTACTATCACTTCTCTCTTTTCGTTTTCTGCCAAAATGCAAATGTTAAACTAGTGTATTTAAGTCACTGTTTGAGATTGCTTTAGTCGGAGCGTGTTCCTTCTGCTGAAGGCCACGGTACTAGTTAATGTTCTACGATAGCATTCCTGTCTACTTCGTTGTTTCATTCTTACAGATTGGGCTGTCAAGTCGGTGTAAGTTAGAGCCCACTTGCGCGATTAATTATCTCTGCGTAGCGTTCAGTTGCATTAATAAACTATGCAATTAATGCATATAAAATATATTATCGCTATCAGAAATATAAATGATTTTCATTCGTAGAGCAAGTCTGAAATGTCTCAGTTTTGCTACTCAGCAAAAACAATAAATAAGTAAAATAATAGGATTCAAAAGAATTTTTAAATACAGTAAAATAAGCTCCACCAAAAAGCGTGTAGAATAATTTTGCGTAATAGTTTTGTTTTCTCTTGGCTTAAATAAATTATTTTTGCACAGTAGTTTTAAATTTTCTTGGACTTTAGAGATGAAATTCAACCTTCTTTCCTTCTTCTGTGCACCATTTTGCAGTGTCATTGTAAGCATCTTAAGTTTTACTAACGTTTATTTTATTTTAAATCTTTACTATCACTTCTTATTTTCTACTTCCGGCCAGAATTATAAGCGTTAATGTATTTATGCAAAGTTTGTCTGGCGAACGCCAAGTATTTAAATTGTGGCTTTTTGACAAGCGAGAGAGAGGAAGCAGTTAGTCGAAGCAGGCCGCTTACCTTAGAAGTTTTACTCAGTTGCTGGTTGCCTTCCAGGCCAGAGGTTTTAATCCTCTTGATAATTTTTAAACGTATTGTAGTGTTCACAGTTCTCTGTACTACATACGGCTTCCTGTTAATATAAGGCCAATCTTCCACGTTTATTATTTTAAAGTTAAATTAGAGTTTAGTTTTTTTTTTTATATTTTACGTTTAGACCACAAGTAGTGGGTCTGTGTATTCCGAAAGTACGGAAGTTATTGTAAATAGAGAAAATAAAGGGTTTTGTATACCCTTCTTGTGTATCCTGTCTACTTCCCACAGTGATTGAACATAGCTTTAGTAAGCTCTCTGTTCCGAGTCAGGTCCTTGCATGTTCCCGAAGAAAGTAAGACGGAACATTGAACCTGATATCATTATTTTACATATTATGCAAAATTGCCAAAAAGTTGATACTTAATTATTTGTCATACGTAATTGAATGTTATGTCCTTACGTTTATTTTCTCCTCAAGATATTATTATATATAATATATGTTAAATTATACAGGTTTTTGCCAGAAAATAGAACAGAAAATCAAACAATAAGCTATTTTGCCTTCGGTATCGGTCCCAGGAGTTGCATTGGTGCGAGGCTTGTCCACATTTCTACCAAAGTCATAATGGCAAAAATTTTGCAGAAGTTCACAGTACTAAGTACAGATACTAAATACGAAACAAATGTAAGTTGCTTTTTTCTATTTACAAACAAAAAAAAGTGGTTTCAAAAGCAAGTCGAAATACTTCGTTTATTTGGCTTATTACTTAAATAATTTGAGATCTTTTCCTACTGCAATTGCTCCAATATAAAGTATGCATAGTAAATTTAGGTCTAATTTGGGCTAAAAAAAAAGAAGAAAAAAACAAATAAGGTGTACAGCGTACGCAAAAAAAAAAAAAAAAAAAAAAAAAAAAAAAAAAAAAAAAAAAAAAAAAATTGCAGTAAAGCTACATGGAAATGTCTTGTAGCATTACAGTATTCTAGATTGTTTTGAAATAAACCATATGTATAATATTGATAAACAAAATTAATATTAATTTCTGTGCAAAATTCTTTGTGTAAGACATTGCCAAGTCTTAGCAAGTGGCTCGTTTCAAGGGATGCCTCGCGGTGAATTACTGTGCAGTATTTTGTTACGGGTATCTGTGAATTAGCTGCAAGCCCAACTGGTGAGATCCGTCAAACTCTATCAGTCTCACTCTATGTTTAATTATCTGCCATATGGTTGGCTATATGTTGGACATGAACTGGTTGGCATCCTTTTTCAGTTATCTATGTTAGAATTGAATGTCTTCCTACTTTACTCCATCTAAGATGCAAATGCATGCCAGTTCCTTTCCTTCAAAATGTTTTTCTGAAGGTTTATAAGTCGTGTTAAAAGCTTTTATTTGATTAGCAATAATAAATTAATTACATATTTAACCCTGTATCTACACTCTTAAACAAGAAAAAAAAAAAAAAAAAAAAAAAAAAAAAAAAAAAAAAAAAACGCACCACGACGCACCGAGAAGATACAAAGCAAATTGGATACAAATTGATATGCATACAGGTTTCGACGGAAAATGCAAAATTTTACATTTTGGCTGCCAATGAATGAACGGTTGTCGCTACAGCGTATCTGATCTGCGCAACTGTTGTCAGGATATTTAAAAGGAGAAATTACGATTCCAGGTCATAAATCTTCACGAATTTCATTCCGTGTATTCTAGTGGACAGTAACTATGCCTCTCATACAGGTGCGCGAACGATATGCGCAGATGTCAGAATTTGAGAGAGGTCGTTTAGTTGGGCTCAAAGAAGCCGGATGGTCTTATCGGCGAATAGCTCAGCTCCACATCTGAGCAGGAGTGATGCCACTATTAGAAGATGTTGGCAGGAATGGGTGAACTATGGCCGCACACAACGTCAAGAAGGATGCGGTAGGCCTAGAGAAACGACAGAACGTGAAGACCGAGCAATCGTCATAGCGGCACTCACAGCCCCAGATGCATCATTATCATCGATTGTACGTGCAACTAGTGCTTCAGTGACCGCAAGGACCATTCATAGACAGCTCACAGAAAGGGGGCTGAGAGCACGGTACCCCTTGCGCCGATTACCATTGACCTCTGTACAACGCCAAGCCCGTTTGCAGTGGTGTCGGGCTCATTCGCACTGGAATGTCACTGACTGGAGTAGAATAGTCTTCAGTGATGAGTCCTGCTTTGAACTGAGCCCCGATGCCCAGCGAAGGCGAGTCTGGAGACGCCCCGGACAGCGGTGTGATACCAACCTGACTGTCTTCCGGCAGACAGGCCGACAACCAGGAGTGATGGTCTGGGTGCCATTTCATTTCATAGTAGGCCTCCTTTGGTTGTCATCCGTCACAAACTTACAGCACAGCGGTACGTCGACGAAGTTCTAAGGGACGTTGAGTTGCCCTTCATGTCATGCCACCCTGGGCTTACATTTCAGCAAGATAATGCCCGCCTCCACACTGCACATGTTTCTGCTGCTTGCCGAACGTTACCTTGGCCAGTTAGGTCACCGGATCTCTCTCCTATTGAGCATGTTTGGAGCATTATGGGCAGGGCCCTCCAACCAGCTCGGGATGTTGACGATCTAATGCGCCAGTTGGACAGAATTTTTCACGATATCCCTCAAGAGGACATCCGCAACCTCTATCAATCGATGCCAAGCCGAATAGCTGCTTACATAAGGGCCAGAGGTGGACAAACGCGTTACTGACTTTTTCACTTTGTGAAGCTCTATCACTTCAATAAATCATCCACTTTTTCTCAAACTGTAATCATTTGTTTTTCTGTACATGTATATCATTTCTACCGATTTTCGTCCCGTTCGGGGAACCCACCAGCGGCCGAGCGGTAAAATCGCTGAATACTGGTAGTTCGGTCCGAGGTTCGAATCCCGCGAACTGGTTGGTTGCATGGGCGTTTTCATGGTTTTTCCCCATGTGTAACGTGTATGCGAGCCAGTTCCCTTAGAAAATCCTCCACGAAGGCATCCCTTCCCCTAGGCAGATAGCCCTCGAGTCTTTGCCATAATCACGTACACACGTCCCATTCGAATAACTACTTCTTGGTGGGTCTTTTTTTTTTTTTTTTCTAAGAGTGTAATTATCCAAATTGCTTCAACAATCAGTTTTATGAGAAAATACCATAAAAAGGCTGAAATAACACCTTGTAGATAATGTTTCAAACATCCTCCAATAGTCAGTAAGTAGTCCGTAGTCATTAAATTATTTACTCGAATGAACTGTCGGGGTAAATAATCTCGGCTGTTATATTTCATTAGTGAATAGTATTTATAAGCGAAATATGATTTGTCAAATTAACTGAAATATCAGTAATGCAATAGAAATTTACTGAGATACAATTCAGTATTTAAAATTTTCTTAGCAAAAACATTTTTTAATGATGCATTTTAAAGCTATACTTTAATAACCTTGATTTTTATCTGTTAAATAAGATCATGCTTAGAGTTTTAAATTATCTGTTTCATTTTATGTCGTTAATTTGTAAAAACATTTCACTAAAATATAAGTTTTTTCTTCTGACTGCAGGAGATAATAATCTGTTTTTAACAACTGTTTTTTAGGGAGCTGTTGCAACTAAACTGAAAGTTGGGACATTGGTTCCGGATAAAATGTTCGTAAAGTTTAAACTTAGATCTGTTTAGAAAATAAAACGGTTTATAAAATATATTTCTATGTTACTTTCTGAAATGAACTTTATTAAATAAAATATTTTTTTCAATATGATAGTTATATTATTTACTGTAGTGGAATTTATTTCATTTAAACTGAAATCAAATACTTCACTGTTCAAAACATGAAAAGCTGTGAAGCATAATATGTTACATTTTATATGTATCTGGATGCCTTATTGGCTTTAAAATTTATCTGACCTTTTAATTTAAAATGAATAGATTAATTGCATTTGTTAATATAACTGAATACTACAATTTGCATTGAGATCGTGAATTATTCAACATTTTTTTTTTTTTTTTTTAAATTCAAACTTTATAGGAATGATTCAGAAACTCCGTCAGAAATTTTTCACTTTCTATTTCAAGCATGTACGACTCCTCTTGAATTGCATTGAAATGCCGCTAAAGACACGATCAAATATGATACGTGTTATTTTAAATATGATTTACATTGCCTTTACGCAGAAAGAGAACAATTTGTGTTATAACATTTTCCTTAGGACAAACCCAGAAGAAGTTATCTCATATTAAATCTGATGTCTAAATCTTGTTCATATTTTCGTGAAAAACTATATATTGAAAATATTGTATTACAAACTTATCAATAAGAGGAAAATATAATGGAAATCCATAGATAATCAACAAGAAATTATCCCAGTACAGTAAGACCCCGCTTAACGCGGGGGATACTTTCCATCAAAGTAGAGCGTAATGCGAAACAGCGCTAAACGAGGCTATCTTTACATGTAAATATTGGGGTTAGGGGAAGATGGCTAGGAAATTGGTTAGGTATTAAATTTAAAAAGTATGTTTTTTTTAATAAAAATAAAACCAAACATTTATTTCTTAAAGCCCAAATTAATACCACATTATTATTTCTTGTGCAAAAATAAAAACAAAATATAAATAACAAAACGAATATTCTTAAAAAAAAAACAAATAAATTCTCAGTCAGTCATATTTAGTTAGCCTTCCGCGTTTTCAGTGTTCTGCCTTTTTGTGACAAAAGCATCTAATGTTGTTTGCCTTTTTTTTTTTTTTTTTTTTTTTTTTTTTTTGCGTTGTTCTCTTAAAAGTTCTTCCTAAACGGATAGAGCATCTCTAACACCACGCCTTACTTTTGAGCTCCTGTCAAAATTCGGATCATTTTCAATGAATTGATCCATTATTTCAGTTATGGTAGACAAACTCCTTTTTACAAACGCCATCGAAAGTTGCTCTTCTTCTGAATCACTGCTGTCAACATTTTTGTTTTCTTCTTGTTCAGTTAATTCCTTGAGCTCATCATTAGAAAGACTAGCCGCTGCTTCTTGAATTATTTCTTCGACATCTTCCACATTTACCCCTTCAAAATATGTCTGTACAATACCGCACCAAACAAGAAATACAAGTACACTCTTTCGGATATGTATTTGAAACCTATCGCTGCATAATATTTCGGGAAATCCCCGTATGCTGCGAGCGATTTCGTGGAATCCCCGGGTTGAAATAAAAGAGCGCTAAACCGAAACAGCGCTAAACGAAACAGCGTTAAGCGGGGTCTTACTGTACATTGTTTTAGAGTTTGGTTTTTAAGTGCATAATTTTTATTTATTAGCGGGAGAATATTTGCGTATTTCGACAAAAGATACAAATTATATACATATATATACACATATAATATAGGAATAAACACAGCAATCCAAAACCTAATTTAACTGAACTGCACGCTGAAAGCAGTAACAAGTGGTGGTAATAATGCAAAATCAATTAAATAAATAATACGTTTTAAATCCATCCTGAATTGAATTCAGAATAAACCACATGCAAACAACAAAAACCAGAAGTACAGAGGGAAACAGCATGAAAGGTGCAAAAGATGACAAAATCAAAAATGAAAAATTTACATCCTTCGCTGCATCATCATTGGGGTTTAGGTGCGAAGAAACAAGAGGGAAAAAAATGCCCTCTTTTTGAACCAACAAAGACAAAAAT